CCCCAAATATAAATAACCCCAAGTGATGAGGATGGGGAGCATCTAAATGTGTGCCTGTAATTTCTGAGTTGGGGCACAACAAATGAATGGTTTAAACCCTGAAGGAGTGTGGGGGTCATGAGAATGATGGTGGCGGGCATCTGAGTGGATTCTGAGGACTCACACTAGCTGAATGTTTGTCATTGGAATAAATGGGGCTAACATCTGAATGAGGCTGTGTGATGCCAGCCTAAGGTCATGATGACTTTACATTGACCAAATCAACAGCTATGTTTTCAGCCTTTGTAGTTGGACCTTTCTTGTTGCATTTGACATTTGGATCACTTCCTCCTCCTAGAAACCCCTACTTGGCTTCCATGTTACCTTACTTTCCTGGTTCCTCATAGTTTCCTTTATCTCTTCCCCATAGTTCCTTTTCTTTGGCCTACTCTCTGGGGAGCTCATCCATCTCCTGGTTTCAATACTGCTTCTCTGCTAAGGACTTCTCCAGTTTCTTTTTACCTACGGGGTGGGCGTCTGCCGCGCGGGTCGTAGAGTTGTGTCCTGCGGCTCCTGTGCGTCTCCCAGAGGGCGAATACCAACCAGGTAAGGTGTACACAGACAAGTATTAATTCTGGGGGAGAGCCCAATAGGAGCAGCAGAATGCCGCCACACCCTCCGCCCTACTTTTAGCCGGCTTTTTGGCAGGTGGCCAGTTCAGCTTGGGGACAGGGCGCTGGCGTTGAAGAGTAAGTCCCTTCTCAGAAAAAGCCTTCGTTCAAGGATAAATGTATCTGAGACTCCTATATGTCAGATTCTGTGCAGGGCGCTGGGGATACCCAGAAGAGTAATAAAAGGCTCATGCCTTCCAGGAGGGCACATCCAGTTGGAAAAAGATAATTACAGTACAGACACAGACAAAGAAAGGGACAGAAAACCAAATTGTGGAACACTCTGACAAGAAGGTCCAAAGATGGAGACTCAGATACGGAGAGGCACATAGAAATATGTTGAGGCTGAGATAGTGAGGAAAGGATATGCCAGACGGGATCACAGAGCTGTGAATGTGGAGAGCCACTAAGAGAGATGCTAGGAGACAGACATTCTGAGACAGAGCTGCTGAGAAGCACGGACCTACCTAAAGAGACAAAACATCTCTCATCAGTTCAGCTCTTGCTACTCGCCTCTATTGGTGTATACTCTATTTTAAGTCCCTAGATCACACACTGTAGGCTGTACCTCAGCCAGAGACTATTATTTAGGACCCGGGGCTTTAGTCGTCCCAGAAAATCTTTCAGCCAGCATCCTAATTCAGATTTTGAGCCCAAACATCTAATCTGTCTTCATTATTTTTCCCAAACCAAAGTCTTTAGGAGATAGAGAATAACAAAGTTTGTTTTTACTTCTGGGAGATAAAAAACACAACATAATCCATTTAACCCTTGTGAGCACCTGCAGTTATCTCTGCAAACACGAAAGCTGTGCTGGCTCTGGCTGAATCTGAAGTGACACTGGCAAATATAAATAACTCGGCTCGGGGCCTGTGGCTCAAGTGGCTAAGGCGCCAGCCACGTACATCCAAGGTGGCGGGTTCGAATCCGGACCGGCCCGCCAAACAATGATGGCTGCAACCAAAAAATAGCCAGGCCTTGTGGCGGGCGCCTGTGGTCCCAGCT